TCCGATGTGGTTTATTTGTGAAAAAACTTCAAAAATAGACCATTTAATGAGTGCGCCTTATAATCCAGAGCGCCTAATAGCCCGGAAAATACGGTAACTGTTTGTTTCTACCTCGTTGTTTTAAAATGTAAACGCAACATCATTCAGTCCTAACTACTTTTACTATATATTAAACCTTCATTCTCGTAAACTAGAAGAAATAAATCAGGTACAGGCCCTTTAATTCTGACACACCAGTAATGAGACAGAAATACACATTGTGACACATTTCAATCAGGCAGTGTTCCTCTGTGTTTTTAAAGTTCGTACACCTTCATCACCACCTGAGCCAACCGTTTGAAACTGAAAGGTGCATCTTGTTTAATACATTAGCTTCCGGTTAAAATGTGAAAAGCCTGAATAAAGCAGAATACGCCCCCTATAGGACACAAATGTGCATGAAATCAACACAGACTTCACTTGGTTCAAAAATAATAAAATGTGTTTAGATTTTTAAAACAGGTCTTGAGAATATGACAAAAAACTTGATTAATATTCTGTAAAGAGTCTGTACTTGGTATTTATAATCTAGATTAAATGACAAAATGCCTTTTATTTTACAGTATATTGCTAAAGCAGCTATTTGTGAGGGGAAAAATGAGACCATAGATACAATATACGCAACGCTCGCAGCTCATGATATTTATGTACATTCTAAAAGGCATTTTGTTGGATGAAAACCACAAAAAAGCAGTTACCAGGAACAGACTATTTACCCAATCAGATATATTGGATGAGGAAAAAACAAAACACTAGTGGGCCGCGCAGTTTATTCTGGAAAATGTTCAAAATCAGGTACAGACCTTTTCATTTCCTTCCATTTTGTTTTGTTATGTATTGATTTCACGCACATCGTAATGCACTGGTCTTATCTATGACAGCAAAGCACCAATAAAATAGTTGTTGTTATTTTTTTTCTCTTAAATCCAAAAAGCAAGCTTCAGTAACACATCATTTGATACAGTATTTAAGGCAATGTATGTTCGTAGATCAATTTCACATACAGATTAAACGAAAGTAATGCTGCTTATGTTATTAACAAACTACTGAATACAAGAATTAAAGAACTAAGTAGGAGACAATCGCACAGAAAAGAAGAAAAAAAAAGACAGCTACTAAGAATTTTCCAAGACAAATGAAATCATCGTAGATTAACATATGGAGAAGGCAACATTCTTTAACAGAAAACACACAGAATTTACAATAAAAAGACAAATATATTGAGCATTTGCAACAGGTTTACAAGTTACAACGTGGAAATGTATTCTCTGCATTTGACCCATCCTTCAGTGCCGCCATTATGAACCAGTTTTGTACCCAGCTGGAGGATTAAATTAACTTAAATGTATTAATTAAATGTGCATTAGTGATGGGCAAATGAGACGGAGCTCTGGAGCACGTCTTGTTCTTTCTGAAACAAATTGCTCCGAAGCACTGCCTCGGAGCTCGTCTCTCAGCAGCCGCTCACGTGACAGAAGTGTCGGAAATGTCAGTCCCGCCCCCTACTGCTTCGCTCTGCGCGTCAATCACTTCAGTGTATCGAAGCGTTTCATTGGCTCAGCGAATGTTCCGCTCTGCGATTGGTTCAGAGCGCTTCAGAGTGTTCAGCGCACTCCCGTGGTTTGACAAGCGCTAAACTGCTACAGTATAAAAGAAAAATTATAAATGTGTCCACTAGAGGTCAGCGTTTCTCCAAGGCCTCAGACACGTCAAACCATTTGAGACAATATTGCAACTGAGGTGTCAATGCTTCACGAGGCTCCATTTGCCCATCACTACTGTGCATGTTTTAAAGTTCATGGGTGAAAGCGGAGTACCTTGTCTAAACCCATTCAGGGAGAACATGCAACTCACAGTTCAAGAATCAAACCCAAGACCTTATCTTGCGAAACAATATGCCATAATATGTAATTATTTAAAATTATTAGTTGGGTTTATAGCCATTTTATAAGGGCCTGTTTACACGAGAACGCTTGCGGGTAAACACGACAAAATATTTTATCGGAAGTGCCTTTCATTTAGACGGTGACGGCGTTTTTGGGGCTTATAAACACAAAAATCTGAAACCACCCTCCAGAGTGGAAAAGTTGAATATGCTCCGCCGTAGCGTTTCCGTCTACACTGCCCAAGACGCAAAACTCTGGTCAGATCTGCTCACGTCACATACACGTTTACGTCACATACACGTTTACGTCACATACATCACCACCTAGAGTCACCACCGGGCCACCTGGCATGCATACCCAATTGAATTCCACACACTTTTGCGTCACCGTATGCGCGCAGATTTCCTCCTGCAAATGCTCGTCTAAACGCGGAATAAAAAGTGAAAACGCGACACCACTTTTGCGTCTTCTGTTCAGACCGTCATCATATAAACGTGGCCTAATAATGCACTGGTAACTCAAGACTGATTAAAAGATTCATTTGATAATTTGGTGTGTCAGAACCCAGTAACACTGTTAGCATGCTAGTTGCTGTTAGTATTACTGTGATGGTAAAAGTCAATATAATATAATATAATTAGGATGCTAGGAATGCAAAAGTGTATCCTGATTCATCAGCCGGTTTCACTTCGTAGAAACTGACCTCGCAGCGTTATATTTTGTTCGCTCGACGGTAGGCAGGTACTTTTTTTTATTTAACCAATCGCTGCTATTTGGTCGTGACGTATGTAATGCAACAATAACGGGGATAACTGGTATATTAAGCTCTTCCCAAATCCCGTAGGAAGAAGGACAATAACGTCTTTCCCCTTGATAAAATTCACCAAACATTCTTTGTTCCGGCTTTAAATCCTCAATCTCGGGAATCGTTGCCAACACAGAATATATGGCTCTTCGCTGATTGGCTGGTGCCCGAATTCGCACTTCTGGGGTTTTTGCGAACCGTCTAGTGTATTGCGATTCCTGACCTAGTGGCTGGAGATAAATTAAATTGATCAGAGGCGCTAGGTGACGCCAGCAAACATTGTCGTTTTGTTGGGTTTTTTTTTGTTTTGTTTTGTTTTTAAGACATTAAAAAAAACATAAAAAAAGGAGTTTTAATGAATCTAATCTAGTCTTAAAATAAATAATAATAATAAAATTAAATAAAATAAAGTCATGAAACTAGAAGATTGCCTTATAGCTGCTTTGAAACACAGGTCAAATGCAGAGGACAAATTTCACTAAAATCAAATCAAAGTACTATACTTAAAACATCAGTCCTATGTGATTTCTATTGAAGAGTTTGCCTTCCCATTTAAGACACCATGAATCTAAAGAGCCCCATTGTCCCTTGAAGTGGGGTCAAAGGTCGTGACCCCTAGCTTCCATTTTGCCACTGTGATAGAGTCCTCATCGACCGACCACTCTCCAGTCCAGCCTTCGATTACAACAGCCCACACCAGTTTAGTTGGATTCAAAATTTCTAGTCAATAATTCAATTTGTTTTCAAGCTTTAGGATACACTTTGAATTGTATGTTTAGTTAATATATTATTGATGAGATTTTGATATTTTTATTATGTCCAATTGCCAAAGTCTGTTTTAGCATCGGTAAACTTCAATAAGTGCTTCAAACTTGTAAACAATTATTTAAAGCAATGTTAATTTTGCAGCTAATATCTAAAATTGCATACATTTTCTTGAACCTCTCATATTTTTTGTAATATAACTCATTTAAACCTTTGAATTAACCTTTCAAAATAAAGTCCAATCTTCTTTCATCTCTTGAATAGCCATTTTCATCTCTATCAGTCATATAAAGTTTTGTAAAGTTTTTCTTTTTAAGTAAAATAAAACATTCTTTTGACCCTTTTTGGTCACTTAAACAGTTCAATAGTTTTTACACATTTTTGCCCATTTTAGACTAAGAATGTACGCCGCATGGCACCACAGTCTCACATTCCTTGGCAAGTTCTGAAAGGAATTGTGACAGTTGAACAATCACTCAAAAGTCAAAGATGTCCCGTTCTCCAACTCAAACTGGTGCATTATAGCAGGTTTGGTATCTGTAGCTCCGTACATTAATCAGTGTCAAAAAAAAAAAAAATCTTTTTGGAGATGTAAGATCTTCATTTGGCAATTTATTTATTAATTTTTACATAGAAGGGACTGGCCAACAAATTCTCCTTCCAGGTGTCTTTTTGCCGATTTTCGATGCTTTGAATCCACTGCAAACAGTTTGCAAAGGAACCAAGATCCATTTTTAATTGTACAAATTCTTTGTGACATCAGGATGTCCAAGTTCAGTTGTTCACATTCTCAATTGATCCACAAAGATGTGAAAATGAGAGGCTTGGTTCAAAGGCCAAAAGTACATGATGAATAAAGATAAAGAAGTTTAACTTTGGATGAAAAACATCTTGTCAACAGTGACTGAAACCTCTTAATCACTCATGGTAAATCCGAGCACTAAATATTACCTGGTTTCAGGTGACATTGTACAACATTCTACATTCCTGTAGTCAAATGGCAGTTTTTTGTTTTCCTTCTTCCTTTTTTTCCCTATTTGGTGTGGTAGGATCCATGTAGCAGGTAAATAAACCATTTCATTAATATAAATGATACGGTTTAAAATTTGTGAATTTCAGATTTCTTTCAGTTTTTGTGGGAATACTGGCTGAATGGAAATAAGTCCTTGCCTTGTAAAAAAGTGAGTTGTTCCAAAACAAAATAAAACAACACATGTATGTAGACCTGGCCTTTGCTGAGTATCACTCACCCCAGAGTTTTGCTTAACTTGTTATATTCTACATTATTTTGACTGTAAGCATTCTTTGAACTAGATCCTCTTCCTCTCCAGTCCCTCATCATCGCAGTCCCCCTCGCCCCAGGCCAGTCTCCTTGTTGGGGGGCGAGAGGGCTCGTGCCGCTAGAGGGCCGTGATCTGAGTCAGCTCTGTGTTGGAGTTCCCTGTGCCCGGGGTGTCTCCCCTCTGTGGGGGATCCACCCCCACCAAAGGGAGCTCCACGCCTAGTCATGCGGGATTAGGCGTCCCTCCCCCAGGCCCGCCGCCGTCTCCGCCTTTGCAGCTGTAGGCATTGGCCACCTCCCGGGCGATGCTCCTCATGCGGCCAGACTGCTGGGTGTCCAGGCGGAAGGGCGAGGGGTGGCAAAACTCCCTGAAGCAGCGTTTGAAGTTCTCATCCAGGAAAGCGTACAGGACTGGATTCAGACTGCTGTTGACGTAGCCCAGAGCGATGCAGAAGTGCATGAGCACCAGTGTGAAGTGGCTGCTCAGGTTGAAGCCCAGCGACTGAGCCAAGACCATGATCTGGACGGGGGTCCAGCACACCACGAAGGCCGCCACCACCACCAGCACCATTCGCGTGATGCGCCGCAGGTTACGGTCCTTCTCCTTGGAGCCTGACAGGATCCTGACGCTGCGCAGCCGTTTGACCATCAGGCTGTAGCAGATGCTGATGATGGCCACAGGGATGAGGAAGGAGAACATGAAGACACAGGTCCCAAATACGGTGTCCCAGTAATTCCTCGGCTCAGGCGTCACCACGATGCACTCCACATCTGGAAAACACAAAGAGAACATTAGAGCAGCCACCTGCCACTTTAACATATATCTGTAGTACTACATATCTGTAGTATTTAAATAAAGGATCGGTATTCCATGTGTTTTACATTAAGTCAGTACTTTAAAACGCAGGTTATGCAGAAGACATCAGAACCTGTGGAACTTTATTAGTGAATGGAAACATTATATGAGTGTAAATGGCGAGTAAGTCAAAACACATGTAAAATGTGAATGAGCTGCTACAGTCTAATAAAAGTCTACAATTCTGCAAAATATTTATTTGGTATCTGACATTTAAAACAAGAAAATCAAGTCAATAGTAGAAAACCAGTTAACAGTTAAACAACAGGGACGCTGCAGACTACACACACATTTATCACTGATACAGACTTTGGATCAAACACAAATAGCATGTTTCTGAGGCTGCGTGTTGAGGAAATAATTACTGTGGGCTGAATCTCTCCACAGACAAAAATTAGACCAAAAAAGCCACATTTTGAAAACAATAAACACATTTTGTCTTTTAAGCTGCCCATAGTTCTGCCTCATTGCCACTCAGTCAGAATGTTGAGGAGCATTTCCCAATAAAATGACATCAGTGCAGTCCTCTATATTTAGAAGAAAACCCACAGCAGAACATGCACTCCACACCTTTGGGGATATGGGTTATTGTGTAACCAACAGTAAATAAATAATCAACTTGATTTTGTATATTCTAATTAAAACAAATAATAATAAGGTCATCAGCATATGAAAAGATAGAGTTTTTAATTAAACGTCAACTTAAAGGTCCTTATATTACGCAACATTGACTCTTATGAACTTTAAAGCGACAGTTCAGTTCATTTCCTAGTGAGCCAGAGTGTTGGAGACGTGTGGAGACACTTTTTAAAATATTCCACCCAGTCCTTGTATTTGCAGAGGTCACTGGTGCTAGACTAGTGCATGTCAATGGCCATAGTTATCCTGCCACTAAACACAGTCTTACCCACTCCACAAAACACCTGAAGCAAATCTATTATTACACCAGACTGTCGATGTGAATGTCTGTGCTGATAGAATAATTTTAGAAGTAAAACCAGTCTTGCTTTTGAAGGATTTATATCTGAGCAGCAGCAGTGTGTTGTACACAAAGCTTGGCCGCAGCGGACTGATATATGAGAAAATAGTCCCTCAACAAGCGGCGATTCATGCGATGCAAGGTTAGTTTTATTTCAAACATTATTCTTTATTATCAACACAGACATTTACATGGACAGTCTGATGTAATAATAGATTTGCTTTGGGTGTTTTGTGGAGTGGGTAAGACTGTTTTTAGTGGCAGGATGAACTATGGCCATTGACATGCACTAGTCTAGCACCAATGACCTCTGCAAATACAAGGACTGGATGGAATATTTCAAAAAGTGTCTCCACACGTCTCCAATTCCAAACTGTCCCTTTAAGCCATGTTATAATGCGGTTACCTCCTCAAAAACAGACCTGGAGTTGTGTTTTGTTTCATTCACACTTGAGCAGCTCTTAATTATTAGTCTGTCTAGATCTCCAAAACTCAAAATGCTCTGTTCCACTTTGTGATGTCATGTAGTGGTGTAGTAGTTTTCAAGTCAGCTACCTTTTACCTTTTGTACAATAAGAGATTGGCAACTCCAGGTCCGAAATTTTGATTCTTGTGAAGGTGCATGAAGTTTAAAAAAAAACATTGGAGCACTTCCTGTATTAGTACATGACATCACAAGGTGGAACAGAGTGTTTTCTGTTTGAAAGGAACTCAACATATGCAGGGTTTGCGTGTTAAACATGTGTGAATGAAACAAAACACAACTCTGGATGTGTTTTTGATCGGGAAACGACGATATAATGGGCCCTTTAAACAACAAATATATTCTTTCTGCTCGTAAACTGCCTGAAGAAGCCTTGTTGATTAAAAAGCCCCAAGCTGGTCATTGACAATCTGAAACAATTATTTCATGATTCAATTAAGATGACATTAATTACGCAGCCCTAACATATGGAAATGACTCTTCTCCGTTAAATGACAGTCTCCATCTCATTATTATTGCAATTAGACAATCTGAGCCCCAACACTGATGTCTTGATGCTAATGACGATTTTAATTGATGTCCACGCCATTCGCTCAATCTCCTGTCAGCCATTCGCAAAACCAATCGCCAGCTACTTTATGTAACTTTCCTCTGACGCACAAACACAGAAATAGTTCGTCATGAACACATTAAAGCTGCACTGTGTAACCTTTGTGGTGGAGGGTTCGTCACCTGCTTCTCGCCGTAGAGATGTTGCTTGGAATTTTCTACGAAGTATACTTATTTATCTCTACAGAGACAGCATATAGTGACGTTATAGGGCCAAGTTGTCAGATCTGTGGAGAGGCGAGCTCACTCAAAGTATAAACCCATGTTATTGAGTAAAAGCAAGACAGACATGTTTACTGTAGTGGTTAGAGATGATGTTATTTGTTGTGTCTGTGCACGTAAATGTTGTTCTGCCTTGTACTTTAATATTTGTCCTGTCTGAGAGAAATGTAATTTTGATTTCTTTTTATGTCTAGTACATGTGATGAAACTGACAATAAAGCTAACTTTGAATTTTGAAATTTAATGCCACATTGGGATGTTCCAGACAAAGCAACATCTCCATGGAGATAAGCCGATGGCACACCCTCCATTTGAAAAGTTTTCTGGTGGAGGGTCTGCCATCTGCTTGTCTCCATGGTGATGCTATTGTTGTAACCGGAATGTTCTGCAGTATGACATTAAACAAATATAGCTTGTAAGGGTGTAACAGTACACACAAATCAGGGTTCTGTATGTACCTCGGTTTTGAGGTCACGGTTCAGTTCATTTTCGGAAAACCATTTGCTTGTTGTTTATTTGTGTTTTCATTAAACCAAGAATTAGTTTTAACATTATACAAACGGGAAATAAAATTAAAAGTGCTGCTTGGTAATACTAATAAGTTAAATAAAATATTCTCAAATAAGCAACAAATGTATGAAATATTACAAAAAGTAAACAAAACTTTTCAAAAAGTAAAGTGCAGCAGTTCCAGCATGAACTTTTACTAAAATTTCATATTTTTGGTCTGAAAAACCAACTTGTCCACATTGTCTGCAGTAAGTGAAGAGCTGCTGCAGTTAAAATGTCAATGGGGCCAGGAGGTGAGGACCAGGGCGCGACGACCGTAGTTTTGCGAGGATTCACGTGATTTGGAGGGACGTAGTCAAGGAGGGTGGCAATTATTGTCAACACGGCCGCCCTAACTATAAAGCGCTGCAGGAAACACTGCCACCCCAATCACGGACGAGCTCCTTCGTGAATATTAAAGAGCTGAGCCTCCGTGTAGCCGCACATGTAGTGGCAGAACGTAAACACACACAAATTAAACAAATTCACTCGTGCACAGCCCTGCACCGAACCGAATGTCCCGTACCAAAACGGTTCAGCACGAATACATGTACCGTTAAACCCCTAGTATTTATTCAGTTAGAGGATTTTTTTTTCTTGAAACTACCACAAAAACAAGTAGTCTTACTGTGAGTGGGCCCACTTCTCCACAGACTGTAACATCTATCTGTAGGCAAGCAGGTGGCGGACCCTCTATCAGAAAAGTTACGCAATGCACCTTTAAGCAACACACAACCCCTGCTTTGTGTGCCACATGAAACAACGAGCGCTGTGTATGTGAATGCTAATGAGCTGATTAAAAATGCTAATTACTGTTGTGGATGAGGCCGAGGTGCTAATATTAGGAGACAGGCCCTTGGGAGGCGCGGGGGCTTGAAAGGAAATCTCCATGTATAATAGTGTATAAGAGTACAAAGCAAAGTCACAGAAATAAACAGTGAAAGAAGCACTTCCGCTGGTCTCATCAGAACACTGCTAATAGGCTAAGGCACATGGAACAAGATCCTAAATCCAAATCATTCTCTTTGGATTAAAATCAAATTAAAAAAATGACATGACATGCAATCACATTTGTTTATTTCTGTGATGCATGTGAAAGAAAAGAGCTCACTGGTCACTGTCATTTTCACTAGTGGAAGAAGTACTCAATTTTGTTACTTGAGTATTTTTCTGCTCCTGTATCTTACTTAAAGGTTGTATGGAGGATTTTTTTTTTTGTTTTTTTTGTTTCAAGTTGTCAATGATAGCATTATAGAGGTGCAGTAGCCTTGTAATTATGATGACCAAAAAAAAGAGAATAAAAATTCATCAACTCTGGACGTGGTGGGGCTAAACATTTGCCAATAGATAACGACACTGCCTCGTTATCTGTGAGCTGACAGGCTGTCAATCAATCTCCCTACGTTTCTAGCGTAACTGACTTGCCTGCGCGCCGCCGGTACGTGGTTTACGTACGCCTGTCACGCAGTCACAGACGCAAGACGCACAGACGCTGTTTACTTCACCAACGCAACAGTTCTTAGCGGCTTTTTTTGACCTATATCTTCCTCGCAGTTAGCACAAAGTTTGTTGCAATGGCGACAAGAATCCAGGAGCAGTTCGCCGCAAAAGAAAGTCCGTTTTTGAGGTCGCTGAAAGAAGAAGACAAGGGGAAAAGCAGCGAAGCCAAACTAAGGTGATTCTTATAGATTCATTCCAGCGATGGAGCGACTGAAGCAGACGCAGGGTCTAAAGACTGACGCACTGGTCCACAAATTACTCCTGGACAGGTCACTTCTGCTTATTATGAAAACGTACTTTATTTCCAAGAGCTAGACAAACGTTTTTCAGGACACGAAAGCGATATCCTATGTCTGAAAACGTAATTTTCAAGGCAAAGAAAGAGTCCGCTTGCTGCTGCGTGTTGTAGCTAGTTCATTCGCACTGAATCTCCGCGCACCCTTCTCTGCACCCCTTTCCTGCTCCTCTCCCCGCTGCCCGATCCGCTCTTCTCCCTGCTCCTCACTTCTCCGGGCACGGAATCTCCGCGCACCACTCCCCTCTCCTCTCTCCTCTCCTCTCTCCTCCCTCTC